TCCGACCTGCTGAACCAGGAAGAAGCAAGCTTCTTGGTCAGACAAGCTTCATGGAGTAGAGGACATGTCACTGACATCAACATGGTGGCGTTTAACGTTCACTGGCCTATTCCACTGCCAGCGCTTGTTGCAGGACTGATCGGTCAGAAAGCCCACGCATGGCATGAGATATAAAATTCTAGCATGTCCATACATTTTAGTTTTTAAATGAAGCAAGATCTTTAAATTCTAACACTATTAGGCATGTAGAAGTCAGTATCATGTGAATTGAATTATGGTTGTGGGCTCCATTAACCTTAATTTTGACCAATAGATATTAGGCATTTTGGCCCATGTAATCCATAACAATATATTTATTTCCTCAGATATATCCTAAGCTTTGCAGGGAAAAATGGTGTAGCAACCATTTTATTAAACACTGATCAATGTGGAATAAACTTTGTCTGAGTACTTTACACTCAATTTACACTTGGAAAGAAAAAAATCAAAAAGTAGCTGTACCTCCACTATCTCTTATTGCCATTGTTCTTCCAGACATGAGTTCAGCATTTCAGATGGTACGCATGTGATGCAATAAGCCTTTCCAGTATAAAGAGGATTCTTTTTTTGGCCAAGTTTAAGTCCAATGATTTATGAAAAAACTCCAAAAACCTTATCAGGTCATCTTCACCATCCAAAGGTCCACAGAATCCAATTCTTCTAGTATTTCTATTTTGCTACTGAGGGTCTATCATATTTTGGAGAGTACTTACAAGCATAAATCCTATGATCCTAAGTCTTACATGTAAGGATTTTTTAACTGTCAAAGCTTGAATTTCTATTATTGATTACAAATCCAATCTTCTAGCCAGAATAGCACCTGCAGGATGTACTTTAGGACTTTCTCATTTCTTTAAAGTGTCCTTTTCAAATCTCAATTAAAGGAAAAGTTTTTGACAGATCAAAAAAAAGGTGGTGGCAGGGGGCGAAACAAATGAACAAAAGAGATGTTTTAAAGAGTCCTGGGCATTGGCTCTCCCAATTATTTCTTCCCTGTTTATTTGAATGACTGAAATTTGGTTTAATTAGTTGCTAAAATTGTTACAGCCAATTTAATCTGGGAGGGCATGCTTGACCAGGGGCTTTGGCTGTGTTCACCCCAATCAACTCTTCGGGACATACAGGGCTGTAAA